CACACACACACACACTTTTTTCCACCTTTTACAGTCCTTTAATCAGTTTCTTAGGCTGTATTCACACATATAGTTCGGTTCATTTGCTCCGGATCAAGTGATAACATCTTCCTCTTCACACTTTTTTTTACAAACAAACCAGGAGGAGTAAACATGAAGTTATATTGATCGTCGATTGGACAGATTTGGTGACCCAGTGAAGCATTATTAGTATTATTAGACGTGTTATTCTGTATTGTATTTGCATAAATACATACAGGGCTTCTGTAGATTGATAAGAACGTATAAGACCGCTTCCTGAACAGGTAAACGCTCCCGGGTTCGAAACAACTTCTCTAAAAGGAGACGAGTAAACTTAAACTTTAAACAAGCTGAATTCATCTGGAGTTCAATGTCTTGGCCCTGTAACTGCTTGTTTTCAACAGCACAGCCTTGTTTTTGTCCCTGTTGTGAACTCTGCGGCTTTCTAGTCTGTTGCAAGTCTATTTTTTATTTTGTTGTTGCTTTTCAATGATAGGTTAACAATTTTTACAATGTGAGTGATTTAAGTCCCTGTTCTGTGCAAGAGATGTATTCGTGAAAGAGTTAGACAAATGAATCTACTGTGTGTTTAGTATAAAATACATTTTTATTCTGTTTCGCTGTTAAAGGAGGAATTCAGCACTAAAAACACAAAATCTCCTCTTGATTTTCTCACTTACATTAGCTTCAGATAAATGTTTGCATTTTGCATGCAGAACAATCCGGTCTGTTGACAGCGCATTAAAAAGAGATCTTTAACTGGTCAGTATGAACAGCAGGAATAATTACACCAAGCAAAACCTGTTTTAGTGGCACCTAACTATTGTTCTCAGACCATTGTGAACCTCTCATTTAAACCATTTAAAGTATTTCAGGGAATTGCAGGAACGGCCAGATTACACCGCGCATTGTTTCCATTTCTTCCTCTTTGTCTGAACCTCACATTGTTCACGCTGTTCTTTCTCTCTCTCTGTGTCCTTGAGTAGATGCTGCACTTCCACGTCTAGACCAGTGCGCCTAGGGAGGTGTGTGTTTGTGGGGGGGTGCAGCCACACGACCACCGGAGCGTTACTGTACGCATTCACGATAGACGATCCTCTTTGTGTGCGGTGCGTCTGTACGAAGGGGGGGTGGACCTCGTATATGTGTGCATCCTCTCTGCCTGGGGGGAAAACGGGTTCAACCCCCACCGCCGCCTCAGTTCACAACCTTAAATAAATTAGCGGGGCCGTCTGTGTCAGCTCTTTTTCTGGGTACGTTTGTTTACCAAGATGGTGAGTAAAGCAAACATTATGAGAAAGATAGATGTTAAAAGTTAAATAACAGACCATGATGATAAAAGAACCAATAAAATCAAACTATTTCGATTATGGATTCATTGTTTAAATCATTTTTGAAGCACTAAATTCCCTGAGGAGTGTCTGCTTTCCTTAAATATTCATCTACTGTCCATTAAAGTAAGAACTTGAGAAGGACGAGTGCTCCTCCTCAGTCTAACCCCGGTGTTACACCAAATTCTGTCACTTGTCGTATTCTGTGACCTCTAATTTTGCCTTCAGGTGAAGTGTATCGTGCAGAAAAAGATATTGATTTAATGAGCTGATACATGCTGGATGTAGATTTAATATCTTTTCCACTGTAGCCCCCCCCCTCAGTGGGGAGCAAGTGCAGTTTTCCCTCGCAGCAAAATGAAAAATGAGTCAGGACAGGATTTAAAAACAATGTCACAGAAACACCTTTCAGCACCGTTCAGTCTCAGTGGTTTAGTTACGACACTGAGTTCAATAAAAAACTAAGATATCTTCTTTCCTCACCAAACAAACTACCCAGAAAGATCTGAGAAAGGATTCGGATTTGATAAAATGCTATCGAACGCCGTCCCTCAGTCACACACACACACACACACACACACACACACACACACAAACAGGCCTGCGGGCAGCGACACTGTGCGAGTAGATTGATGGAGTTTATTACCGAGGTCGGCTCCCGCTCTGCGCTCCTCTGCTCTAAGCCCCGCCCCGTCGTGCCCCGGGGGGGCTGATGGGTAATGAGCCGTGAAATATTCCAGTAATGGAGACAGAGGACGCTGTTCGCTTTTGAGGCGGCGTAACCATGGAAACGCACACGGAGGAATCCAGACAAGTGAAGTTATTTACCTGGTTTTCACACACAGACACACACAGACACACACACACACACACTGTAGATGATTACAGCTCTAATCTGAGACTTCTTCTGTTTCTCGTCTATAATTATCTTTAGTTCATTTTCTTTTTGTTTCTCTCCTCTGTTCTTTCCTGCCATAACCTCCGAGCTCTCCGAAGCAGCTCCGCTAAGCCAGTCAAAGTCTTTGATCCTGCGTATTCCCCACCAGTGTGACTCTCAAACAGACCCGGGAGGGAGTCGAGGGGGGCGCGGGGGGAGTAGGCTGATGAATCTGGGTCAGCACAGGGGAGAGGGGAGCCGGGGAATGGTGGTCGGCTCTGACCCCAGAACAGGTGCTACAGCTCCCAGAGAGGATTTTCTGCAGAGGGCGGCTGTTACACATAACTCCTGCGGAGAGAAAGAATGAGTCTGTCTGACAGAGAGTGAATCACGTCTGCACTTCTTAGGGTTTTTCTGGGTCATCTCTCCAGTAAGAAAGCTGGAACAGACGAGCATTGTGCCGTCAGTGAGATCAAAGCGTCTCCTGGAGGTTTATGTGAAGGGTCAGACGTCACAAATATCCGTATGTATCTATATTTCTGATATTGTTTCCTCTCTCTGTCTGTCTGCTCTCAGAGGCTGAAGGATGAGATAGCAGAGGTGACCAATGAGATTGAAAACCTGGGCGTGACTGAAGAGAGGTAAAGTGTCTCTCAACAATGGTTCCTGTGCTTGTGCATGGGCAGCCAGGGTCCACTCAGCCTTTGCTTTAATGGAAGTGCATTCATGGGTAGAGACAAAAACACTGACACAAAAAGAACTGCCTGTTGAGACTGTTTACATTAACGATCGTTTGTAGTCTATAAAATGTCAGAAAAGTCTTTTTTATTTTATCTGACCAACAAAAGTTATTCAGTGGTAAATATTCTAAACACAAGGTCCACTTACTTAAATATTCTGGGAGCTTTACAATGATATAACAGAGAGAAAGGCAGCAAACAAACAAACAAAGCAAGTGAATGTTTGATATTTTTGCCTAATAAATAACTTAAGCAATCAATATTTCTGTTAATGTTTCATTGATTGGCGAATGGATCGATTAACAATAGTTTTCAGCACTAGTGAGTTTTTGGTGATTTAACACACCGACTGTGTTTGCAGAACAGTTATTGAGCTTCTGGTTCATCTGCTTTTTTAGGAAAAGCATGCAGAGGAATAAACAGATGGCCATGGGCCGAAAGAAGTTCAACATGGACCCCAAGAAGGTGAGAACAAAACCACATCCTGCTCCTTCCTGTAGATAACAAGTGTAGGGCTGCAACTAACAATGATTTTGTCACTTAATAAAGTTATCATTTAGTCTAGTTTTGTCCTACTAACAGCTCAAAACCCAAAGATATTCCGTTTAAACTGATAATAAAACAGAAAGAGGAACAAATCCTCATTATGTTATTTTTTCTGACTCAAAAGAAGGAATTGTTTCAACCTCACTGGACAAACTTATAAACACTTATTTTTTTCTAAACTTTTGAAGAAGTTTCATATTGAGTGTATTGTTGTTGTTCAGACCGGGTTGTGCGTTCTGACTTTCTCCCTCAGGGGATCCGCTTCCTGATCGACAGCTCCCTCCTGAAAAACACCAGCGATGATATTGCAAAGTTTCTCTACAAGGGCGAGGGGCTCAATAAGACGGCTATCGGCGACTACCTCGGGGAGAGGTGAGATACATCGACCAGCTTAAAGTCATTTCACACAGCAGACGTTTTGACTTGTCCTAGTACAGCTGTTATTGATAACCCTGAAAGAGAGCTGTCATTCATTTCATTGTGTTCATCAGAGGTAATGATAGCAGACTCAGAGAACGCTTTAAACAAGAGGATGAATGAAGAATGTTTGTGTATGTGCAGGACAAATCCGGCCTTATCAATATACCATATTATTCTCTCTATATATGAGCTTTTGTTGCATTAGCAGTTCGAAAGGATCTAATGTTTCCATCTGATTCATCACATCTCATACAGCTCTTTCAGCTGCCAACTGCACTTCTCCACCCTGATCTAAGTTCGCTTTACTCCCCCCCCCGTGTGCGTGTGCGTGTTTGTGTGGGATCGCGTGTGTCGTGCAGAGATGACTTCAACATCGAGGTCCTGCACGCCTTCCTGGACTTACACGAGTTCACAGACTTGAACCTGGTTCAGGCTCTCAGGCAGTTCCTGTGGAGCTTCAGGCTGCCCGGTGAGGCTCAGAAGATCGACCGCATGATGGAGGCGTTCGCCCAGAGATACTGTCGCTGTAACCCGGGAGTGTTTCAGAGCACAGGTACGTACCTCCGTAGAATTTACTCATAAAGTCACCATTTTTAATCCAAGTCTTGAAACCGTGCACACACACACACACACGTTGTCTTGGTTTACAGATACCTGTTACGTGTTGTCGTTCTCTGTGATCATGTTGAACACGAGTCTACACAACCCCAACGTAAAGGACAAACCCTCCGTTCAGAGATTCACTGCGATGAACAGAGGCATCAATGATGGAGGAGACCTGCCAGAGGAGCTATTAAGAGTGAGAGAAGTTCAAATCAAATCACATCTCCCTCTGTGATACCACCATAACCACCATTTTCACTCATGGTGTCAGAATAATCAGTCACACTTATTCATAATTAAAAAGGTTAATCAAAAATATGGTCAGTTAATTAGTATTGAGGTGTTTATGTACAGTTTTATCTGATGTTTTGCCTTTAACATTCTCCAGTGATACAAAACTTGATGCTGGAGTCTTTAAATGTTTTGGCCTCCCAGTAAATAAAATACAAAGAAATCTGACTGCTTGTGTTTTTTAAAAGATAATGTGGCCAAAATAAAGTCAAATTTCATAGAAAAACTGCCCTCAAAGACGCTCTTGAGGTGCCAGAGCAGTCTTTGCTCTTCTATTGCTTTACAGGACAAATATATAGCCTTTATTCACGCTCATATGCAACGCAGTGATCTATATTCTAACATTTAATCATCTTTATCTCACCGTCTCTGTAGAATCTGTACGACAGCATCAAGAATGAACCCTTTAAGATCCCAGAGGATGATGGGAACGACCTCACACACACCTTCTTCAACCCCGACAGAGAAGGATGGCTGCTGAAACTCGGTACGTGAAGTAGTTTAGATATAATTTAATTCCTTCAGTCTGGATCAGTCTCTGTGAGCTGGAAGGCCCTCTAGTGGACTGAGTCCGTCATAACAGGAGGAGATCAAACTTGTGTTGAATACTTTTTGTATAATTTTGTTTGTTTTTACTCTTTCGTTGACGTTCTTCTCGTTTGTTTGTTTTGTTTCATGGGTTTTTGACTCCAGGAGGTATGTACCCACCTCTCCCTCCCCAGCTTTAACGCACTGCTTTGCTTCTAAGCTGCCTCCCCTCCACCTCCCACCTCCCACCTCCCTGCCTTTGTTACTCCCACTGGCTGTGTACATCCACCCTCACATCACACATTTCATTCAGAATAAAGAATTCATTTTGTGTCTGTAATCTCCGCCCTGCGCTGTACGCCGTTAAAGCTCTGATGTGAAGTCGTTTCACGTCTGTTCCTAACTGCCGAACACGTTTTAACCTCAGCTTCTCTCTTTGCAATCAGTGGGCTTGATTTAACCTGCTGATCTGTGCCTTCAGTGTGCTTCAACGAGTTTCTGTCGTCCAGCAAATCAAGTTTTCTGTCTTCACTGAAGTTCACAGCTCACCTGTAATCTGTCCTCAGGTGGACGAGTTAAAACCTGGAAGAGACGCTGGTTTATTCTCACAGATAACTGCCTCTACTACTTCGAATACACAACCGTAAGTACTTCCTGTTGGGCATTTTTCAATAGTTTTTATTAGTTTCAGTCTTTTTTTTAAGTTTAGTTAACTGTAATGACCTTGGTAAGTCCAGTATTCCTGTCATTGTAATTTATTTTCTCTCTGCTGTCTAATAAAGGATAAGGAACCCAGAGGAATTATTCCACTGGAAAATCTGAGTATCAGAGAAGTCGATGACTCCAAGAAACCGGTAAACTTTCTACTCTGTCTCCTACATTTTGTCATAAAACTGACTCACTTCTGCTGTTTCTCTCTCACTAAGACGTCTTTAGCTTAGCATCACGTCAGATTTGGAACCACTAAAACAAGAAGCTGCTATATCCATCCATCAGTTGTTAGTGAGCAGATACAGAGCAGTTATTTGTTCTCGGATTCTTCTTCTTCTTATCTCCTGTCATCAGGAAATCTATTTATTCCCTCCCAATCTAATTGGTTTTTTTGCACTTTTCAGACGTTTCCTGTTTACTCCTGACTCATCTTGTTTGTTCTGCTCTCTCCCAGAACTGCTTCGAGCTCTTCATCCCCGACCACAAAGATCAGGTGATCAAGGCCTGCAAGACGGAGGCAGACGGCCGCGTCGTCGAGGGAAACCACACTTTCTACAGAATCTCCGCCCCGACCGCAGAAGAGAAGGACGAATGGATCAACAGCATCAAGTGAGACACATTTAAACTCTCTCTCTCCTGCAGACGATCGGTGTGATGTTGAATTCCTGAAAAGTCTTGTTACATAACCGTCTTTCATCTCCCACCTGCAGAGCCGCCATCAGTAAAGACCCGTTCTATGAGATGCTGGCTGCCCGGAAGAAGAAGGTGTCGTCTCTGAAGGGGCTGTAGAGCTGCGGAGGATTAAACCTTGAAACGAGCTTTGACTTGAAGCAGCGGACAGGATTATGGAGCCGACGCTCCCGCTGCTGCAGCGACACTCAGACCTGCCACAGAGGATCCAGCTTTTAAAAGGCTCTTCCTTTGTCACCTTCAGTACCGACACTCTACAGTCTGACCTTACGTTCAACGTTTTATTCCCCATCTAGAGATGAAATGATTCCGTCGTAGCTCTCTCTCTCTCTTTTTCTATCCTTTTGAACACCGTGCTGTGTCGACACCGTGCCCTCTGGTTCGGACTCCCACTCCTCTTAAAATCTGCTGTAATGGCTGTTGAAATGTGTCTGACTCACCTCAGAGCCACTTCACACAGACGCAGTGTTCGGTCCGCTGTGGTACAATGAGTTACAGCGGATGAATGAATCACATCAGACATTTTCAGGAGAGGCTAAAACACTTTAACTTAGTTTCCAACCAGCCTCGCGTTTGAACAGTTGTGTATATTTTCCAGACGTCCTCTACTAAAAACACTTAATGAAGATATCTACTGGAAAACAGATTAAGTGCAGGACAGATCTTTAGTTTCATCTGCCATAAAAAATGCTTTTTTTTTTTTCTAAGCCTTTTTTTTTTCTTACTGCTGTTGGTCTTTTGTCAAAGCCCTGTTAATGAAAATTAAGGTAATGCATAAATAGCTAAATATTTATTTATCCAGATTCTTGTAATTTATTGTTTTATGTTTTGTCTCATTAAAAAGGTTTGAAAACCAATATTTAACTTTCTTTTTATTTGACTTTACTTTAGTGTAGCAGCGTCCAAACCAGGAAAACAGTTAATATTCATTATTGTGATTCAAAATTCAAGTGTTTTAAGTTTGAAGGTTCATTCTTGTCCTTAAAAGCAGTTTGACAAAAAACAACTTTCAAGCTCCAGAAACAACAAATCAAACCTTGGGATGAAAATGTGTTGGTCAAACTAGACTGAGTTTGTTCGTGGAAATGTTATGCTTGTTGAATCTTAACCACAGAACAGAATAAAAAGCGTAACCGTGCAGCTAGAACCACTGAGGCATTCAAGCGTAATAATATTTTGAAACTGTGTTAATGAAATCATCCACGCATTCAAAGTATGCATCACATTATCTCCTGCTCCTCTTATCTACATCTGATCGCGCTGGTGAACGAGATCAAAACAAGATTTTAAACTTGTTCTTCGGTAACGAGGTGAGAAGCGAGAAAAGAGATCCGCTCCTTCCTGGAAAAAGGACAGATTGACTTTGGAGGAACATGGATATATTCGACAGTGTCTTTACAAACAAAATTTATCAGTGGAAAAACATTCACATGATCAGAGGAGCGTCTCTAAACAACCCCTCTGTACTCAACCTGCTCCGCACCAAACACACACACAGAGACGAGCATTCAGCAGCCTTCAGGAGTTGGTAGAGCTAAAAGAGAGTGAATATTGTTCCTACATTCATCAGACGGACAGAAACACGAGTCCAAATGAACGATAATGTTGCTCTGTAACTGCTGAAAGTGTAAATAAGTTCAACATAATGTATGTCAGTGTTGTTTCTGCTGCCCCAAGTGGCCAAAAAAAGAATATAATTCTCCATAAATCCTTTTAAGGGGAAATACTAACTTTAGTTCACCTGAAATGGGACAGGACATTTATAATAGTTATTCTTAGCCTTGTTAATTACGACCAATTAAACTTTTCTCCTGGTGCAGCAAAATCAAACTGAATCAATTTATAAAGATCTTATTTAACGTCTTATTTAAGCGACATTACTTTTCAATTGGAGACGTGTTTCTGATGAATGTAAATCCAATATTCGCTCTCTTTTAGCTGTTTTTGGTCTCCTGAGGAAAATATTTGGCTCTCAACTCTGTTCACCGGCTGTCAACGAACGCCTGCTGACGTTGGTGCACTTCAATCAACATAAACCTTTAAAATACAATTGTACGTTGCTACGACGACAAGGGTCAAAACATTGCACAGAAACAGAAAAAAAGGTGACACGTTTAAATTTAAAAACTCCCCACGTCTTCCTTTTAATTAACAAAGATAGTAACACAAAGACACCGTACAGTTAGCTTTGATTACTGCTGAAGGCAGAGCTGTAAACTCACTTTAAGAGCTCTTAAAAACTGTTATTAAGGCTCCTCGAGGGATTGTAACTCTTCACCACACCCGTCTGTGTACCATCAGTCTTCACTACATCAGGGACGTTCGCTGATGTAGTCTCTATTGCTATTTTACACATGCAACATGGACCTGTAGAGATGTGTTTACTGTAGCAGAAGTAGTTTTTGAAATGGTTGTAGTTAGTAATACTAAAAAAATAATCAGAAATCCACAGTGTGATAACATCAGGTGTTAATATATAAATAATCTAACGGAGTGACAGATGTGCAGGTAAACCACAGGAGGTTACATTTTTCAAAAAGAGGGTTTTTACCCCCTGAATGCACCACATACATCTGCTCCTGTGTGTGAGTCACTTCCTGGGACACACACCGATGAGGGTTACAGCCGAGGCGAAGCTGAAGACTCGAGTGTGTCCGTCTGTCCCGTCTGCAGGATCGGACCCACCTCCACCGAGACCTCCAACCTCAGGGGCAGAAGAAAACCAGAGCCACCTGCCTCCTGCTCGACATGGAGACACAAAGAGAGGAAGATTTTAATCGATGTTCCCGCAGTGTGACGAGCTTGATGTGAACAACACAATACATTCACATTACACCACAAAAAACACAATTTGTAAAGAATTTGAAATGGAAAACTGCTGCAGACGTTTATCCTTTCAAACATTGTCACTGCGGTCAAAAAACACACAATGAGAGCCTCACTCCTGTATAAAAAGGTGCAGTGTATTAGCATACGCCCTCCCTGTGGCTGCATGATACAGCTAAATTAAATTAGATTTACGTATTTCCAGAACCACAATAACGAATCGATGTCAAACTACAATCACTATAAATTACAATCAGTTAAAAACAACCAACCCTATTTCTTCCTTTGTTGTCTCCACTTGTGAAAAAAAAAAGTAGTAAAAGTTCAAATCCTCCTTTTGCTGGGGACCCCCTCCAACCCCTGACCCCTGACAAAGGGCCAGTTCAATGTGTGAAACCACAATAAAAACCCCAGTTTCAACCACTAGAGGGCAGACGGCTCCATCACAACAGCCTGTTCAACCAGGATTCATCCTGCTGCTTTACTTGAACCCCGCTGACCCTCAGGAGTTCAACACGACAGCAGAGAGAGAGTTTGGAGCGGCTCCAACCTGTTGTCACTAGTTTCTAACAATAGACGTGTGCTGAACCGCCGATAAGGACTTTTTATCCTTTAAACCGACAAAGCTATTGTTGGTGGTCCGTGATTTGTTTTTTCCTCTGTCAGGAGAGAAAAAAAACACAGAAGAGAGATAAGCGGTAAAGTACACAGATCACAATGCCAGACGGAGAGCGAACACACCACAAACCCAGCCGACAGCAACCAGCAGGAACTGTTCTGCATCGTGTTTGTTTTCCATGAATGTTACCGTGCTCACAAAGAGGTGGACAAACCCCCGAAAATACTCCTGAAACGAAACAAACAGTCTAATATTAAATATTTGGTCCATTTGGCAGCCAGCAGAGCTCTATTGTGAACCCCGGAAATGTTGACAACACCGGAGTTTTATGTTAGAAATGTAGAGTATGGGTCAGAAACTGCAACATATGGACATTATTTCAGCAACTACTTCCCTGATTTGGTAAATATCAGAGTGGGTTTTGGGGTTTTTTGAGGATGCTGAGTCAATTTCTGACATTTTCAAAATACAAAATGGCCATTTAAACCAAAAGTGGTGATATTTGAACCCCCGGTGGGCTGATTTTTATTCATTTTGAGTCAATTTTGAGGTTATTGATGTTTATACAGCATCAAAGATACAGGTCGAAGACAATATGCTGCACAGCAAAAACCACCTGAAGTAATTTGAATAAATATTAAAACTTCAACATTTTGAATGTATTATGCCCAACATATGGCAGTTTATAAATACTGCGGCCCCATACTGTAACATTTATAACATACAACCTTGGGTCAGCTCAACATTTCTGGGTTCACACTGTTGTTAAATAGACTAATGTACCAAACATGCTTCAGTAAGTGTGTGTATTTTTGTTATTCTAATGTAAATCCAGTTGTTATAACCTGAATTTAAAAGCCTGACCAGTAACAGAGGCTGCTTTAGCTCCAGCTATAAGCCCTATAAACTCATGTTTATCTGTATTTTTCCTGATGAAACAATGAATAAAGTTTTTAAAACAACTGAAAAGAAATGCTGTAAGAAGCTGCTTCACTTACAGTTCAATCAGACATTAAATGTGTTAAAGGTTAGAACACAATAGACGGGGATCCACAGAGGATAAGACTGGCATTATTCTGCATTTTTCTTACTGTCAATAAATCTGTTGAAAAACACTGAAACCAACAATGTTAGTTTGTTTCTCAACACTTCCTGACTTCCCGAGCTCGTCTGTGGTTTTCAGCCTTAATCCCACTGGTTCCTACTGAAGACATAAATCTTAAAAAAACAGGTCACAAATACTGACATTACTTTCTATAACAGCACTTTAGATTTTAATATAAAGTAAAAAGTGTAATCTGTTAACTTTCACTTGTGGATGAATACACATTTGTTGCTCTAGTGAGTATTTAAGGCAGCAGCTGATGGAATAGTTTATCTTTTATCAGAGAATCACTGAAGACGATTACAGAAACAGATAATGAGTAGATTGAAGTTCTGTTCTGACTGATATTTATGTAGTTTATTATGACAAGAACTGAAGTGTTGTGTTATAAACATTATTATCTGTATCTGTTCAGCCAACTCAATCATTTGTAGGTGTACCTGGAGTGGGCGGGATTAACCGGATTGTGTTAATTTAATTTAATGTATAAATTGTTATATTTATTGGAAAAATATTTACAGAATTGAGCTTTAGAGTAGTTTCTGATCACAAGAGTGATTTAACTGTACAGAACAAGTTATTTTCAAAATAAAAGTTATTAATTCATTAATTATTGACACATTTTACTTGTTTGGTTCTTGCACTCGTTAAAAAGAACATCATCTGTATACCGGATACGTGTTTCTGTCGAGTACTCGCTCAATCCAAATATCTAGTTTGTAAACTGGATAATTATATGACGCACTGATACGGTGCCTTGTTGATTTACTTAATAAAGTAATAATTATAAATGACCTGTTGTGTGTTTATATATGCATGTTTAAAATGTTTTTTTAACTTTTAAGAGCTTCTGAGGAGCAGTTCTGATGTAGTATACTGACAGTTTAAATCAGCAGCCTGAAATTACAGGTGAAATAAGGTCAAAGGTTCATTATGAAAAGAGTATTTTATAGTAACAGATATAAAAGATTTGTAGGGATGTTCATGGCGACTCTTTTTCCTCGTCGATTAAACTGAAATTTAAACTTCAGACTAGTCGACTGAACTGAAACTAATCAAATTGAGCATAATATATTTGATCAAATCTAAAAAAAATATCCCATTTGAATTGTTATTAATCAAAAAGATAATTAATAACAGCCCAAGAGGGATCACAGCGTCTGTGGGTTGATTTGATGCCAGTTTATTCAGACACAACCTTATTTTCATCTTCAACTGGATCAAAACAATCTCCACTGGTCTCACAAGCTGCTATCTTTTTCTGTGACTGTATTAGAGTAGAGTGGCTGGTGTTGTACGATGAAGGC